ACTAACCTATGTGTAACAACTCCTGGGAAACAGATTTCTTCTCAAAATAAGGAAGAATATTCTAATAGTGCTATCCTAAGATGAAATAGGTTGTCGCAGAGGATAACAGATTTCATGTTCAGTGAGAAGCAGAGCTTGAGGTAGGAAAAATATGCCTAGAGTCATCAGATCTGGGTTTAAATCTCAGCTCTTTCGCTATTAATTATGTAACTGGGCAGTTTCTAGATATTTGTATCCTCAATATTCTCATTCATAAAATAAAGATGGTAACAACGAACCACTGGGCTTTATGTGGTTGAAATAAAATCACCCATGTGAAGTGCTATAATTCATTTCTAGCAGAATGGTAGACTAGGTACCCTGCCACTGAAAATTTAAGCTACAGGGTAAAATATTAAAAACAACTTTGATGCATCAATAAACTAGAATAAAGTAAGGAAGACTAAATCCAAAACCAGCCACCTAAACAGTAAGAGCTTTTAAAGCATTAGTGAACCAAGTGGACCTGAATGTTGGTTTTCAAAGTTTCACCAGATTCTAGGAAAAGGAGACAAAAACCCAGGACCTGTTTAAAGTTAATGAGTCTATCAGAACCACACACTCCGCCATATACCGGACTCAAAAGGCAACATGCTCAGTTTAAGAGTGAATTAAAAACAAAGTTAAACTACTTCTACTTCTATCCCTACCCCAGGGCAGTGCAAGGAATATTTTCTGTTCTGAAATTTGTTGCTAAATGAAGAGGATAAAAATCTTCTCTGAGAATCCATGACTTTACACTGGTTTTCACAAGTAAGTAACCCAAATTCAGGCTATCTGGGTAATCTGAAAACCTCAAGGTGAAAATTTAATTTAAAGAGTTACCAAGACTTCCTTATATTATGCACTGAGAAAGACACAACATTATTTCTGTGGTATTGCTGCTAAAGCACACAACCCGAATCTAACCTAAACATGAAAAACCAGCAGATGAACCCAAAATGAGGGGCATGCTACTAAAAAAAAGAAAAAGGTCTGAACTCTTCAAATTGTGAAGGCCATGAAAGAAAGAAAAAAAAAAAAAGATTGAGGAACTTTATTTTAGATTAAAGTTCCCTATAGAGATATGATAATGAAATGCAACATGAGATCCTGGATTGGATGTGGAACAAGAAAAATGTCTTTTTCTTTTGTTATAAACAATATTAGTAGAACAATTAACTCAATTTAAATAAATTCTACAAATTAGATAATAGTACTGTATCAATGTTAATTTCTTGGTTTCATAGCCGGTCTGTAGCTATTTAAGAGAATGTCCTTGTTTTTAGGAATATAGACATTTAGAGGTAAAGGGACAGTAATTCTGCAACTTACTCTCAATTCAGAAAAATAATAGTAATATGTGTATATATGCACAGACACAAATGTATGTAAAGAGAGTGTGCACAAACATGGTGAAATGTTAATATTTGGAGCATTTGGTGAAATGGATATGGAAATTTGTATTATTTATGTAACTTTTTTGTAAGTTTGAAATTATTTCAAAATAAAAGTTAATGGAAATGAAAGAAAATAAACCCTACGAAGAGCAACAGTTTCTAATGAGGTATGAGAAGAAAACATTAGCATTTTTATTTCTATCTTTTTCTAATCTCAACCTTTTAAACTTTTATTTTTGGTGAATGTAATACATGTAATCTATTAGTACTTGCATAATTAGTAAGTACCTTAAATTGGAAAAAATTATAATATTTGAACCTGGGTAGGTAGCATAAGATGATATTAAATATTTGTTTCTTTTGCTGGGTATAAAAATGACACTGTAGTTACACAGAAAATTATCCTTAATTGTTAAAAATGCATATTGATGTATTTATGGGTAAAATGAGACGATGTCTGACATTTACTTCAGAGAACCCAACTACCACATGAAGTTGCACGGTAGCGACCACATGGGCCAGATGACAGCCAGCAATCAATCTGAGGACATGCAAGTAAGGCCATCTTAGATCATCCTTCCTCAGCCATGCTGCAGAAAAGCCAGGTGAGACCAGCACATGGTGACTCTGAACACAGACTGCTGACCAGCGGACTCATAGGCAGAAAAACAGTTGCTGAGGCAGTTTGTTATGTACCAATAGATAACTCATACAGAAATAAGTCTAAAGATATCAACAATTACAGTAAATGTTTACAGATTAAATGATCCGGCCAAAAAACAAAAAAAAATTATTGGGTCTTCAAAATATCCTGTTTTCTTTTTTTTTTTTTTTAAAGATGACCGGTAAGGGGATCTTAACCCTTGACTTGGTGTTATCAGCACCATGCTCTCCCAAGTGAGCCTCAGCCTGGCCCAAAATATCCTGTTTTTGAAATGAGGTTTTCAGAAGTAGGAAAGGGCAGGGGGGTAAGGGAGAAATCGGTAAAGGGCCACAAAAAATGATTACATTGTATAATATTGAATATACTAATTATCCTGATTTGAGCATCGCATACTGCACATAGGTACTGATATGCAACTCTGTACCCCACAGACAAGTACAATCAAGTTTCAATAAAAAAATTAAAATAAACATAAATACATAAATAAAATACCCTGTTTTCATGCCTTTATCAACAATGCCTCTAAAATATAAGGATATGAAAAGGCTGAAAGTAAAGGGATGTCAAAATTATACCAGGCAAAAACTAAGAAAAGTAAGCTAGTATAATTACTAATGATACTAGGTAAGATAGACTATGGCAAAAGTCATTCCATGACAGTGTCAAAATGAAAGAAAAATGAAATAATTTGAAACTTCAGTGCATCTAATAACACAGTCTCAAAACATAAAAAGGAAAAATGGACTACTTAGAGAAAGAGAAAAACATAAAAATAGTGGGAGATTTTTAACACCCCTCTCAATAATTTACAGTTAAAGGAGAAGAAAAAATCATAAGGACATAGATTTGAATCACATAATTAACAGAACTGACTTAATGGACATAAACAGAACACAGTGCCCAATAACTGAAACATATTATTTTTAAGCATATATGAAACATTTATAAAAACAGACCACATGCTAGACCATAAAACAACTCTTCTCAATAAACCTTAAAATAATGGAATTATATTGACTACCTTTTACCATAATGCAATTAAATCAGAAATCATTAACAAAAAAATAACTATAAAAACTTCAGATTTGGAAATACAAAAACACATCTAAATAACTCATAGGTCAAGCAAAAGTCATGATGAAAATTAGAAAATATTGAGAAACAAACATATAAAAATATTATATGTCAAAAGTTATAATGCAGCTGAAGCAGGACAATGGAATTTATAGCTTTAAATACATACAATAGGAAAGAAAGGCGAAAATAAAGTCCACATTAAAATGTCAAAAAAAGAAGAGCAGGAAATAAAAAAATGTAGAATGCAGAAAATATTAAAATAGACCAGAAATGAATGAAACAAACATAAATGAGAGGATAAATAAGCTGAACAATGGTTCTCGGAAAGGCAAACATCTCACAAGACTGTTGAAGGGAAAAAAGAGCACAAATAAACAGTATTAAGAATGAAAATGGGATATTACAAACTTTTAAAAGTTAAAAAGAGGATATTGTGAACAACTTGATGCCAATTAATTTGAAAACTTAGATGAAATAAACAAATTCCTTGAAAAATGTACCTAACCACAATTAAATAAAGAAGAAATAGAACTTGAGTACTTCTAGAACCATTAAAGAAATTTATTTTTTTTTTGTTCAGCCAGTATGGGGATCCGAACACTGGACCTGAGTGTTATGAGCACCACACTCTAACCAAGTGAGCTAACTAGCCAGCCCAAGAAATTTAATATACAAAGAAAACCTCTCCTCAATGAAAGCTCCAGACCCAGATGGTTTTACCTGTGGGTTTCACCAATCATTGAAGGAGCAAATAGTATCAGTACTACAAACCATGCTAAGATCTCTTCTACCTAGACTGTGTGGTACATTACAGATCCTCAAAAAAACATTAGTTTTCTTCCCCTCTCTCCAGTCCCTGGAGGCCAAAAAAACTGGAAGGCCATGTCTCAGAGAAGTTGGAAAAGAGAATTCAACATTGCATGGTAAATTACATTTGCATCAAGCATCATAGACATTTTAACTTCTGTGACGTACTGATAGTGTGTAATATTAGAAATAGGTTGGGCTGGCCTGGTGGCACACTGGAGAGTGCGCCGCTTGGGAGTGCGGCAGCGCTCCCGCTGAGGGTTCGGATCCCATGTGGTGACCGGTTCCCGCTCACTGGCTGAGCGTGGCACGGGCGCAACACCGAGGGTTGCGATCCCGTTGCCAGTCCCCGGTACGGGCGCGACACCGAGGGTTGCGATCCTGTACCGGTCAGTAAAAAAGACAAAAAGGAAAAAAAAAAAAGAAAGAAATAGGTTAACCACGATAGGAAAGGGTGGTTTTCACTAAATACACATCATTATGCACACACTCACACATATATCATTGAAATTCAACAAAGTGGAATCCTGAGGCATCTTCTGAAATAGCACAACTCCTTCTAATTTATTTTTGTCTCCTTTTCTTCCTACCTAAATCTTGAAAATTCTACAGATTTATCATTTAAAGTTCCTCACCAGAGATAATTCCTTACCAGAAAGAAAAGTGTTTACCTGTTTGTGGAACTACCAAGAAATTAAATTAATTATTCAAACTTGAAGGTTTTGTATTTTCAGGAAAAGAATTCTTACAGCTATAACTACTTTCATCTTCCAAGAGACACAATTCCGCATCCCATCTCTCAGATGAAAGGTCATCAAGTTCTCCATGCCTCCATCTAATCCTATTCTGAAAATGAAAGGTGATAATGTTTTGAAACAACAAAACTGCTTTTATTATCAGAACAGGACACAACATTGATTTCTTTGCTCCTCTTAAGTGATAATTGATTTCTGCTAAGAAGACAAGAGAAGAGGATATTTCATAAGGAAGAAGTGGTAGCTTGAGTAAAATAAACACTCCGGAGCCATTCTCACCTTAACGACAGTCACATCCATGCCAGATAAATGTAAAATCGGTGCAGCATTTTTTTCAAATAGAATCCTGGCTTTGCTGTAAACAAAATAAAAAAAACATAAATATTTTAACACAAGTTCTCAAGAGGAAGAATAAAAGCCTAACTATCTTCTCTATAGTAGAATAAGAACAACTATGGAACATGGGTATACTTTACTTGCTCAAGCACAGGAAGATAACAATGAGCAATGAGTTACTACAGACAGAAAAGTGGAACCTTTCACTCAGGCGCCTTCAGGAGTTTGCCCCTTTTCTAATACAATAAACTCTTATCCATTTGGAATGCTTACAGCCTACACTTGTGTTCCTCTAAAGGAAGAATGGATACTACACATGGCTCTATTCAGGCAACTATGCTAGGTTCACTCAACAAGAATTTCTTGAGCACCTACTGTGTAATGGACACAGGTGTAGGAACTGGGGATACATGACAAAGACAAAACTACCTGTCCTCATGGAACTTACTTATATTCTAGTGGTAGAAGGGGAATATTTTACTGTAACATTACTCACATGCCCCAAGGGAACAGATTGAACTAAACAGAAAATTGCTTAATTCTAACTCAGTGAATGTGATTTTTTGAGGAGAGATACATCATTTTTAACAATTTTAAATACTAGGGGTATCTCCATTTCTTGACTTTTAAACCTATAGTAAAATCCCGGAAAACAGAGCAAAAATCTTTTCTACGAAGGCAGAATTTCTGCTGGAAAAGGGAAAAGTTCAAAATTATCTAATATAACTAAAGAATAATTAATCAGAGGTTTGTCCAAAACTGCCAGGCACATTCATGCCCTTCTCTGTGTTCCCCTAGCACTTCTTACACACCTCTGTTAGCAACTTTCTCACTGTATGATGATTGGAGATTTCCAAGACTGTCTTTGGCACTACAGTGGAAACTCTGAAAAAACAGATACCAAGTCTTATTAATTCTTGAATCCCCTGACCTCAAGGATTATGTATGGTACACTTAGAAGGTACTTACTAAGTATCTGATAAGTTAATGCACAAATGAATGAATGAATAAACCTGTCCCAAATGTAGACATGTAAACTCTGAGGAAAGGCAAATGACACAATTGTGATGTCCCATAATAAGAGAAATAGCCCTTAGAAGAAGAGATTGTGTATTTGAAAACTATCATGCACATCATTCTGATAGTGAACTCTTGTTCACCTCAGGTCAGGATTCAAAAAAACAGCCTAAGAATCGCAGACGCAGAAATTGCAAAATGTCCCCCCAATGGCACAGTCTCAAAGTCAAATATATGTTAAAACATACCAATTAGTTGATCTGTTTTACCCAAATACTTTCAGCTGTTACATAAGAGAAAACAGAAAACAAAAAAACTAGTACTTCCAAATACTCAATGCCAAACATCTAACTTTTACATCCACATTTACTCAGTTCTCTTTCTAAAAATGATTTTTTAACCAGTGACACATGTTTTGACTTTCTAAAGAATGTTTTCTACTAGGAAGAAATACAAAGGCTAATGAGGAGCATGTATAGTTATGCACAGACCAAATTCAATATGCTTTAAAGAGAAATAACAACCAAAAGACATACAGAACACAAAACATGTTTTGTTAGGAATTAAAATAGAAATTGAGAAGCCTGAACAAATATACAAAAACCATCTAAAAGAATATGCCCACTTGAGCATATAATAAGCAAATGAAATATACCCTACCTTTCTACTGCTCTGAATGATTATTAGAATAAACATGAAAGGCTAAATGGAAATTTCCCCTTTCCAGCTCACATTTGTGGCCAACCCCAACAATAAAAGGCTGAGCTAGTGATACTGCAAACAATTTTCCTTCTAGGGTTGCTTTCATTACTAGATTGACAGGAAAGGATCAGTTGAAAGTGGATCAGATCTATTTCCTAAAAGCAAACCTCTTGAAAAGTCTCAATCTGCCATGTCAATCACAACAAATTTGTAACCTCCTCAGAGTTAGTTTAAGAAACAAGATTTGAACATTTGGGTCTTTATTCACATCTTTATATGGTGCCAATGGATTCAGAAAACCTCTAAAATAAAGGTGAAGACTTTTTTCCTTCTATTGCTCCCCATAAAAGATTGAAAAACAAGCGTTACCAGTAAAAAATGCATTATTTATCATAGAATTAAAGACAAGATAGCACCAGGGCTAAATAAAAACTTTAGGTACTTATAGCAATTTCCAGGCTCAGACACACACAAAAAATAATTACTCTTTAATGTATTATTTATTAAAGCTAAACACAGTTATCTTACTTCTTAAAGCTCTTATGTAGTTTTAAGCCAGTACTACATAATGAAATAGCTACATGATAAATTATAAATTATGTGTCAGAACAGACTCGTGATGAAAAAAATAGTGCAATAAAATAGTGAAAGCTTTAAAAAAAAAGATGCTAGACAGTTTCAGAGTGGCTGTTTTCCTAAAAGTATGCAGGGATTCACCTTGTTAAAGGAGATGATGCCTTTAAAAAAGAAAGAGTTTCCTTCAGTAGCAGTATTTTCACCTGCCTTTAGATAAAGGTGTTATATTTTTAAACAAGAATCCACCTTTAAACATGCATATAGACAGATCTCAATTGCAGCCAGCCACCAAAAAAATTTTTAAAAAAGAGGAAACAGAACCTAAAACTGCTCTGAAAATTTATTAATTTAAAAAAATGTAAATATCTCTTAGAAGAATTCAAAATAACTGACTATAGCTTAAACAAATTGCTATAAATTTCTTCATCAGAAATCAGCAAGTGACTAATTTATTAGGTTTCTAAAGGAACATTAAAATAGGCCAAAGGAGAAGTACAAGAGCTTTTGTGAAGGGACAAAGAGCAAAGTGGAGAATGTTTTGAACCGCGCCTATGGTCAATAACAATGGCAGCTTGTATTTCTTCTAAAGAGTGCTTACTATGAAATGGAGATAATGCTTAACACTTCCTAGTCATTATTTTCTCACTTAATACTTAAGGCATCTATTCTATATGCTCATTTTTTGGTATGCGCTATTACTTTTCTGGTTTTACAGATGAGTAAACTGAGGAGTTAAAAAGTTAAATAACTCCCACAGTATGACGGAGCTAGTAAGCAGCAAAACAGCACACTGACAGGTCCCTCAAGCTCCAAGACCATGCTCATTTTTTGGTATGCGCTATTACTTTTCTGGTTTTACAGATGAGTAAACTGAGGAGTTAAAAAGTTAAATAACTCCCGCAGTATGACGGAGCTAGTAAGCAGCAAAACAGCACACTGACAGGTCCCTCAAGCTCCAAGACCCACGCTGAGTTCTCTGCTATCTTCTTCCACAGGACACTACTATTCAATTATCTTGGGTATTCTGAATGTGCGATGCTAAGACTTATTTGTTGGTATCATTTAGTATTGGTACTAAACAAGAGTGATCAATAGGTACTATGACTGGTGTGTTTACAGAGGAGTGAAGCAGCTCTAACAAAGCCTGGCAAATATGACTCAGGCAGGGTAATAACCCAACACAGACAATCTGTACATAAAAATCTTAAAATGCTGAATTAAAAAGAAGTAAAGCATGACTGTCCTCATATCTGTGAAGACACACTCCATCCCTCCCAAAAAACAACTAGAGAAACTGACTTCAGAGCCCCTATGTTTTACGCCAGACAATATTAACTTACAATCTGGACCAACTATTCTTTTTGTTGTTTTCATTATATTAACGTCATTGGATTTAGATCTTATAGAATCCAATCTAATACATATTTATAAATTATCTAATCCACAGAAAAGTCAAAAAGAACTGTTCTGGACATTAGGGAGAATAAAGACAATCACTTATTTTCCCTCAACACTTTAGTTCTTTTTAAATAAATTTTAAATGATTTCTCCCAAAGCCATCAAGGCTTTTGTATTCACTTTTCCAATTAAATGAGAGCTGCATTTAACTAACATTGTAAAAAAATGTTTTTTGCCTACTTTTTTTTTTTAAATTAACAGACCAAGTTCCCACATACACCCTTCTCCACCCCCACAACTTTCCCCCTTTCAGCGTGATGTGTTTGTTACAATCAGGGAACCAACATGGACACAGCATTATCTACCAAAGTCCCAACTAGTCTTCACACCTTAATTCCCACAATTCCCTCACATACCCTTTCCAGGCCAGCCAGACAAGTCACAGACTACTGCATGACCTAATAAGGATATAACTAGGTCACTCCTGTCTCTAGGCCCCTCTCCTCATTCAGGAAGAGTGAGTGTGCTCCTCCTGCCTGCTTCCTCCAACACCTAGCTTAAGGTCCACTCCTTTGGGAAAGAACATTTCTGACAGTACCCAAGCCCACGGTGTTCTCGGCCATCTCTGAACATCTTGTACATAGAGATGGCCTAATGATTTGTGCCATAGCAGCAGAGCAGTTGTTCCCAAGGGGACTACTTCCAAACAGATAAGACTTCTCTGTATGAGTTAATTCTGGAAAGATTATTCAACTTCAATTAGACAAGTCTGCTAAGCATCAATTAGCTTTATAGTTATTTCTCATTAACAGTTATTTCTACATTACAAATGAATTTTACTGCTAGAAGAGTATTGAACCTAGTTCTTCCAGTTCTACACAATATAACTAGCTGCCTAACAGTGATTTTTTTCCCCTTAGAAAAACTAAATATACCACAAATCACTACCCTTTGCAAGCTGCAGGATTGAGAAAGACAGTTGCCTTCTTCACTTGTGCATTGGGAGAAATGAGTTGATTGCCAAACACCTAAAAAGGAATGAAGAAAAGTTTTCAGTAAATGTCCATTTATTTGGTAAATGTCAAATATATTCTTTCATTCCAAAAGCATTTACTTGGGGCAGACATGGTATCTACTCTAGAGGAAAAAATGTTCTTTCAATATCTCATATTCACAAAAACACCGTAAACATAACAGTAGAAGTGTACCATTACTTAATGACAATAAGTTAAATTTTGTGATGGAATATAAAACCCTGCTCCACATACTAGAGGTAAATAAGTTTTCTTTTCTCTTTTCTTTTTATTATAAACATATAACCAATATATAAGGCCATCATCTGTCAGGAGAGAAGTGTAATCAATGAGTGTTTGTCTTTAGTTTTCAGAGTACACAGAATTAATAAATTACAGAGTCACAGAATTAATAAATTACAAGCCTAGAATGTATATCTAACTCCAAAACTCAAACTTCTTCTGCCATATCAGTTTTAAAGAACAGATAAAAGACGAGGTAGAATGAAGAGGCAGGAGACTAGACGTGAAGTCAGGCTGGGAACTGAGCAGAGCTGCTGACATTACATCTGGACTGGAAAAGACAGTCAACAAAAAGGAGAGTAGGAAAGCACCAAAAAGGGCACAAATCCAAGTCTGGGGTGGTGGGGAGCAGGTCTGGGCTAAGGAGGCAGAATTCTAGTGAAGAAATACAATGCAAAGATAGGAGAAAAAGGAAAGTTATCCAGGGATTTTCTACTAACTAGCTCACTCTAAATCTCGGGCCCCACAACAATCCATTAGAGATCATTCTCACCATCATCTATTTCCTGCTTTAAAAAAAACTTCTTTTCATGAATACTTTACAGAGATAAACTGTTTCTTTGTAAAAAGTTTCCAGGACATTATAATTTCCATTCTGTTTCCACTCTTACTTAGACCTTAACATTTCACTGCCAAATCTCCAAATATTGTAATTTGTTCTTTTTCTACCCATCTTATTTCTGTAATGTGGCCAAAAATGATTAAATTAACCCAGCTCTCTGGCCCACCAGATTCCAGATCTACAGTACTAGATTATCCATCCTTGTCAGGTTTCTTAGTCTCTAGAATTTCCACCTACTTGCAACTCAAGTCTCAGATTCACAGTGGATTAGGAATCTACACGCAACTACACTGAATTGAGTTTAGAGATTTTAAAAAATCATATTCTTTTAAAATTTTAGACTGTAAAGGGAAGAGCACAGAGAGAAAAAGTAACTAGAAGAAACTATGAGGATGACTCCACTTCCTTTTGTCATATGAGCTACACATGTGTCAGGGAGGTAGAGAATTAGAACGGTAGGAAGAGGTAAATATATGAGGGAGAAAAAAACTAAAGAAATCCAGTCCCAGAAAAAGTAAGAGAAGACAGAATTCAGAACAGAGGTAGAAGCATTTACCTAAAACAAGAAAGGGAGGACTCTGCAATAACATAGGTCTACTCTTCCTAAAAGAGGGAAAAAAAGAAAAAAACTAAAGAAATCCAGTCCCAGAAAAAGTAAGAGAAGACAGAATTCAGAACAGAGGTAGAAGCATTTACCTTAAACAAGAAAGGGAGGACTCTGCAATAACATAGGTCTACTCTTCCTAAAAGAGGGAAAAAAAGCTGCCCCCCCCCCGCGCCCACAAAAGGATTTTCCAGTTGCTAATAGCCAGCTTGGGGTGGGGATCACCTGGAATTTAATATTAAAGCTAATTTGAATTAATTTCTAAAACAACTTATAGGCGTATGAGATAAGACATTTAAACAAAAAAAAGTAATCAAATTCTTAAAACACAGATTTAGAACAATTAGACAACAATCACTAAGCAGAAGAATTTATTAATAGTATCTATTGTCATTGTCATCTATGAAAACATTTCATAAACAAACATGATTTTTGCCACCTACTTCTCCTACTCAACACTTCATACCTTTGCCATTTTTAACTTTCATGGGGTTTTTTTTGGTATTTCTGACATCATAAGCTTAAATGACATATAACAAAAAGGCAACTCAGTCACAGAAATTCATCTGCAAAGTATAATATACAAATGGGGGGAGGACAAAAAGTGGTCTTATGATTCAACCATAACTAATACAGCCAGATTAACAAACATTTAAGTAAAATCTCATCAAATTGGGTAACAGAGCATATGGCATAAATCAGTTGTACTAAAGAGATAGGCTTTAAATAATATTTAAGAAGATTAAACTTTTAGAGGTAACACCTGTTCTGAACTGATATCCCTGGGGGTTATTTGCATCAGGGATGATTAAGGATTTAGCCAGATCTTCAAGGACAACTACAGACGCGAACAAATTTCCAGAGCTTCAACTGCTCCAGTTATGTGTTCTTGGGAATGATCCAGAAGCAAACAAGTCTAAAGGGGTGGGCGTTAGAACTGCTCTTCACCAGATGGTTAACTTCCTCACGTTCTACTCAGAGCTGGCTCTAAGCCTGATTCATCCCGACAGTAAAAAAAATAGCCAACCTCACTGATGCAAGGCACTGCGCAAGTCCCCTGGAGTAGCTTGAGTTTTCTGCACAATGGAGATAAGGCGGGTTTTAATTCTATCACATTAGATGGCATTACCTGAGCTTCTTGACAGGCTGCTCTCCTTAGCAGGTTATCACTATCAAAGTAAACAAAAGAGAATGAACATTAGTTTTAACAGTAGATTAAGATCCAAAATAAATTTGTGGGGTCTTTTGTTAATTTTTTAATATATACATCTCTTCCCTATAAACACCCATGTGAAAGTTTCCTAAAGATCTGATCACACATCATGGGCACTTTTGAAAAACACATTATCTGAATGAATTTTTTTTTATATATTTACCATTACAGTTTTATTATAAAGGATACAACTCAGGAAGAGCCAAATGGAAGAGACGCATAGAGCAAGGAGGAGTGGGGCGTGCAGTTTCCATGTGCTCTCTGCACCCTCTCAACACACTGATGTGCTGCCCAACCCTGAGAGTCTGAATGAGATTTCATGTTATTTCCATATTATGGTAGGCAGAATAATACCACCCCCCCAAAAAATGTCCACATCCTAATCCTCAGAACGTGAGGATATGTCACTTTACATGGCAAAAGGGATTTTACAGATATGATTAAATTTAGGACCTTGAGATTGGGAGATTATCCTGGATTATCCAGATGGGCCCAATCTAACCACAAGGGTCCTTAAAGCATAGAAACCTTCCCAGCTGTGACTAGAGGCAGATGTGACTAGGGAAGAAAGGTCAGAAAGATGCAACCTTGCTGGCTTTCAAGATAAAAGAACACCGTGAGTCAAGGAACACGGCAGCCTCTAGAAGCTGAAAGGCAGGGAAATGGATTCTCCTCTAGAGCCTTACCAACACTTTAGTTTTAGCCCAGTAAAACCTGCATTAGACTTCTAATCCACAGAACATAAGATAATAAATTTGTGGCATGTTGAACCACTAAGTTTGTGATCATTTGTTAAGGCAATGATAGAAAACTAATATACATATCTTGTATTATTCAGTGGAAATCACTCAGGTCACAAATAAATTTGATGTTTAGTTGCTTCTACTACTGTTTTGTTTTTTTGTGTTTTTGGCTTTTTGTAGCACTGTCATTCAATTATATCCTAAATGGAGAATTTTGTCACAAGGCAAAATTTTGGCTTCCAAAAATGAAAGCATTCTGTCAGAATACACTCATCTATTTAACATAATGGTCTCAAAATTGTGCTTATACCGTAAAAGCACTTTAAGTCACTCTGATTGCCTACTGGGCTCCAGAATCTTCTCCAGGTAACTGTCAGGATTAATGTACTTTGCTGGCATTTTTAAAATAGTAACTTCAAACTGGTTAACAACGTTAAGAAAACTAATACCCAGAAATGATAACCAATAACCAACTTATAGGAAAGAATTTAAAAGGAAAAAAGGGTTATTTTACTTATATTCTCTTTCTAGACATTTTTTATAACATCAAAGACCTTGAATTTTGCTTTTTCATAATAATTCAAATCTGATTTGATATTTAAGTTTGAAGAAAAAGAGATGAAAATAAACAGCTTTTTACTTTCTGCCATAGTTGTAGTCAAAGGCCGCTCAATGACTGTTCTTTCACAGCCAGGCTGCAGACCAACCCCTAAACTTCACAAAGCAGTCAGCTTCAATAAGAAAGCAATATCCTAGGAGAAGTTTCAGTGTTGTGAATCTGAAACCTAAGAACAATGTTCTACTAAAATTATAATGACACGAGCTCATCAAAAATCCATGTTGTTCATTAAAGATTTTAGGGAGTCCGATCCTTTGTGAAGTCTAGCCCACAGGCAGCCTTCACAGCCAGGCCCTGTCACCCTCACTTGCCTGAGTGACTGCTGCACTTCCACCCAGATGACAAAGACAATGGTACAACTTTCTGTAGAGGGTTAGAAATCTTGATTCTCAGTTGATTTTTAGAACACGGTTTTTAGGTAATGCAGGTATAGGGCAAAAGCCCACAGATAGCGTGGCAACAGCCCATCTAATCAACTCTAATCACTGTTTTAGTATGGAATTGTATACTAACGATTTTAGAGCTAACAGGGGGTTGACATACCAATCCTGTTAAGAGATTTTAAAGAATTGCTGTAGGGAAAAATGTGAAAAAATGTTTGCTAAGGGCAAGCTGTTTATTGGTGGAAACTTTAGAGACAATTATCCTTAGATTTAAACATAAGAATGTAACTTTTGCTTAAATCATTTAAGGAGAGGTTATATTTTAGATAATGACCGCAGCTTGACCAACTTAGTTCTTCACAAATTGTACTTTAGAATGTCACATTGCTAATTTTACTGATGTTACTAGTTTCCATTGTTTAAGCTACACTTAGCCATAGATAACTGTGTCACAATGCCCATGCTTTGTGTCCTTTTGAAATGATTGAATCAACTGATTTTTCTTGTGAACCTTCCTTGTCTTTACAATAAAAAACAGAAGCTAACTTCGAATCAGGACTGTACCCAGTTTTCTCCTAACAGAGGAGTGGAGTTGCTGAGGTGCAGTCCTTTCCGGCTTCTCATTGCATTCATGTTGCTTTGAGTAATCCTTTTTTGCATCTGTTACACAGAGAAGTGTAACAACCTTCTCTCCCTTCCCCTACCCAAGGTTCACAAATATTCATGGTTTGCTTTTCTCCTTGCATCCTTCCCCATCAAATGCTCTCAGTGAATCATTCTAATGTCATCAACAAAAAAAATATTTACTGTAAGGTGAGGTAAATTCAGGTTACAAACTAGTAAAATATTTTAAAATAATATGTCAATAACCCTTACAATTTACTTAATACTTCATACTTATGACCTTATACACAAGAGGTAAAATACTGAACCCACAGTAACCTCTGGATCACAAAATAATACTGGACTCCTCATAGTAACCTGACCATTGTCACTGGGTCTCTCCTGGACTGCACTATACCCAGTACCACTTCCACACAACCCTGGGAATACCACTTCTAGCCTCTCCTGACTTCACCCTTCCAACCACTCACTTTTTTTTTTTTTTTTTTTTTTTTTTT